GGCATTGCATTAAGATTTAAAAAAAATAAATAAAAAATCAAGGAGAGTTCAAGAAGAAAATGCAATATATTATAATAAAATGTACAAAGAGTTGGAGTTAGAGAATAAACAGGGAAGAATTCACTTGTGTTTCTCAAACTGAAAGAACTGAAAAACAAATTTAAACCTTGACTTGTAATACTGAGAGATACTGTGGGCAAAATCTTATATAATCTAGTAAGCACCAGATGTAAGGAAGACACAGAGTCATTGTACAAAAGAATTCCTTGACATTGAAATTCTCAGTAAATTTGAAATTGTTCACCATAACGACAAGAGCCAATGGTCATAACGGAAGATGTATAAACTTCATTGAAGACAATGGCAAAAAATAAGGCCCCATGGATTAACAAAATACCAGTTAACATAGTCAATTAACAGATGTCAGCCACCCTTAATTTCCTTACCAGTCTATGCCAAAAAATTTAAAGGACAGCTGCCTAGCTGACTGATTTGTGCTCCACACATTTCTTTCCATTCATAGAAAGATGACCAATAGAATGTGGAAATTATAGACCAATATCATTAATTAATATAACACATAAGCAAAATATTGCTGAAGAGAATTCAAACTATCTAGAACAGTATAGTGGCAGAGAATTGTTCAATAGGGGTTTACTAAAGGCTGTGACACCACAGATATCATTGCTGAAGTCAGATGGATCCTGGTTAAAAGCACAGACTACCAGAAGGACATCTATTGTGTAGTTGACTATGCAAAAGCATTTGACATATGTAGATCATAGGCTATGGATATTATTAAGAAGAGTGTGAATTCCAAAACACTTAATTTTGCTCATGCAAAATCTATACCCATATCAAGTACCTATTGCCTGAATAGAGCATGAGGGCAAGCATTGTTGTTGTTATATGTCATTAAATTGCCTGTGATTCATACAAAGCCTATGTACAAAATAGTTCTGAATTCTGCCTTAGCCTGAGCCAGTCTCACGGACTCTGATACACTTTCCTTCATTATCCTAGTTGTGCATCAGGAATGGATCCTTTATCTATTCTTATTAAATGTGTGTGCTAGGAAAATAATTCATGGAACTGGACTCTGTAAAGAGGTATGTGGCATCAGTTTCATGGAAGACTTATCAACAACCTTCATTATGCAGATGACACAATCTTGCTTGCTGAAAGTAAGGAGGACTTGAAGTACTTGGTGCAGAAGATCAATGACTACAGTCTTCAATATGGATCACATCTTAATATCAAGAAAAGAAATTTCTCAATCTCTTCTCATTTACTATAGTGCTGTTAATTGGCCTGATGGTGAAAAATCTTTGTATTCTTTACGCTGAGTTTCAGTACAAGTTGGAGAATGCAGTCTTTGACCTTCTACAGCAAACACTTCAGGTCCTTCTCAGTTTCAGCAAGCAAGGTTGTGCATCAGCTAATGCAGGTTGTTAATGAGTCATCTTCCAATCATGATGCCACGTTCCTCCTCATAAAGTCCAGCTTCTGGAATGATCTGGTTTACATATAGATTGAAAAGGTGTGGACACAGGATGGATCCCTGACACACTCCTTTCCTGATTTTGAACCATGCAGTGTTTCCTTACTTTGTTCTGATGACTGCATCCTAGTTCAAATATAAATTTCACATGAACACAGTTAGGTGTTCTGAAACACCTGTTCTTCTCAAGGCTAGCCACAATTGGTTTGGTCTTCATATTCAAATGCCTTTGCATAGTCAGCGAAACACAGATACACATTCCTCTGGTACTCTCTGCTTTCAGCCAAGATCCATCTGACATTGACAATAATGTCCCTACAGCCTGTTATAACCCTAGCTTGTATTTCTGGTAGTTCTCTGTCAATGGACTATTCAGTTGTCATTTTAAATAAATTGCAACGAGATTTTGTTTGCATGTGATATTAGTGATATTGTTTCATTGTTTCCAAACTCTGTTGGATCACGTTTTGGGGGGATAAGAATAAATATGGGTCTCTTTTAGTCAGTTGGCCAAGTGTTTTAGTGAACCTGGAAGTATATTTTTAAATAGTTCTTTTTTATGCTTAGAAAGGTACACTATAACTATATACCAATTCAAATATTTTACTTCACTAATATTAGTATGACCTGTATTTATCTCTTTCAACTTAATTCCAAAGTTAATCTAAAGACATATTTAAGAATAGAACTTACCTGTAATCTAGGGGTGCCTAATGAAAGGAACAATCATGACACACAACAATTTGAAAAGACTTAAAAAACCTTTAAGACTTTAAGATGAGTAGGAAGAAATCATTCTCAAAAATGGCATGTTGTATGATTCTCCTTACATTATATGTTTTTTCTCAAAATGACCACATTGTATAGATTGAATGGTTGCCAGATACTAAGAATAGTGGGGAAAGGAATGAAATAAATGCCATTATGAATCTGTAGTATGAAAAAGAGCTTTATATTAAATATAATGCCTCTATAATTTATTAAAATGATAGTTCTATAAATTTACTCAGAATTTTCTTTATCACATAATAATATATTTATATATAAATATTTTGTTTTATACAGATACCTATATATCTTATATGTTATAATAGATACACATATCCTTAACCAAAGTTAGTTTCCTGGTTTTGAACAAACTAGCTACATAATATGCAGAATGATCAATAAATTTGCTGGTGTCCCCATTATCCTACTATAGGACTGTCTCACGTGATAAAAGAAAACAACATTACAAAACACAAATGACCATTCTAGTCTTTAATGCCCAATGGTTAAATTGTATGGCCTTTCCATCTGTTAAAGGTATGATCTTTACTGACTACTGCTATCAACCCAGGATTCTGAACTTTTATTGCATCTTCCTGAGAATCTATTATTATTTAAAAATCTCTTCTTAGGTACAGTTAGACTCACCACAATTCAGTACTTCTTCTTGAATTCGTTGAAACTTTTCCATGATTTTGGAGCGGAGCTTAGTCGAGTTGACATCAAACACATAAGCCATACAGTGAATTCTCTCCTTCAGTGATGGAGAGGTGATGTAAGAGGAGTGCAGAGGTGTAATTGGATTTTGTGGATTAAACTGTTATAGAAACATAAGGAAATACTCAGGAAGTCTTTTTTAATTCATGAAAGACATAATTTATACTACAAAGATCATCATTACTAACTTCCAATCCAAATATTTCTCTCAAGAGCAAATGAAATAGTAGGCCCCAGTCTATACTTCCTTTCCACTGTAAGCATACTTATACTGTATCTTTCTTAAGGAAAAAATAACTTTATTGCTTTGGTAAAATAATAATTATTCACAATAAAATATACAGTAAAATAGAAGCATAAAAATGTCAACTATGTGCCCATCCTCAGATATAACCTCCATTATACACAATTTAAGATTTTTCTCTAAGTAGTATGCACTTTTTGATGACTGAAAGACTAGAGAAGAAATATATATACATGTTATACATGACATTCAAAACAAAATGGAACAAAAAAACCCCAAAACTTTCTTTTATTTGCATAGAAGAAAAACAGACAAAAGTGAAACAAGAAATGACAAATACCAAGATACCATTTCCTTACTAAAGATAATAATCTCTTTTGTAGGCTTAAAAAAAATTAAAGACAGTAAATATTTATATTCATTACATTTAATAATGTTGTTGTTTGTTAATTTGAGTTGAGCATGACTCATAGCGACCCCATGAAAAAAAGGCCCCTCTACAACTAAAGATATTTATCAAAGTACATAGAGTTTCTGGAGGCATGGTGTTTAAGAAGTGGATGCCACTCCTGTTTCCATATTAAAATATGTTTAATATTTTACTAGATTAACTTTCTGGCATGAATAATGGGGTTGTTAATATGTGCATGATTTCATTTATTTTTCTGCCATATTCCTTCTCCCTCCATTTATGTCTTTTTTATTCTTACTATATTATGAGGCCCTGGAGGATAAGAAATATACTATTATCCAACTTACTGTTTCTGGTAACTGAGTTCATATATGGAAAATAATCTATTTTTAATAAATAAAATGAGTACAAGATTTACAATGATCCACAGCTGAAAAGCTATGGAGGTCAATATTTAGAGTTTGAGGTTGATTTTATCATATCCTACCTAAAATGAAGATGAAAGTATGCGAACTTGTTTTGAGCACTAAAAGCACAACATCAATTTGCTATGAATCAGAGAGCTGGACAGTGACTAACAGATGACAGAAGAAGGATTAATGTCTTTGAGTTGTGGTGTTGGAGAAGAGTCTGAACATACCATGGACTGCCAACAAAACAAAAAACAAATAGGCATGTCTTGTAAAAGGTGAAATCAAGTTTCTCCTTGGAGGCTAGGATTTTGAAGCTCCATCTCACATACTTTGGGCATGAGGTCAGAAGGGACTGGTCCTTAGAGAAGGACATCGTGCTCAGAAATGAGGAGGGATAACATAAGAGAGGAAGACCCCGGAGGAGAAGGATTGATACAGTAACTGGGGAACAAGTTAAGTGTGTCATAGTCAGTGAACCGGGCTCAGGACAGGGCAGGCTTGAGAGCTATACAGGGTCACTGTAAGTTGGGGATGACTCGACAGCTCATAACAACAACATCAACAACAGAGCACAACATGTCATTTAACCTACTGAAGCCTCCTAGAGGGTGACAATATCCATACATAAAAAAAAATTAGAGAGACAAGTACATAATTTGGTTAAAGAAACACAACCCATTTAGTGCAAAGCCAGTCTTTAGGACTAGATATTTAAGTCAGAAACCTGAATGCTTACAGTTTAACATTATAGTTAACAGACAGTGGTCAATTATTCTAATATTTTGTCTATGTAATTATAGAAATGCAAAGGATAAAGATATCATATTAATTTACATGTTTTAAAAACTAATCTAAAAACTATCATCTCTGATCTACTTATTGAACATAAATAGGTAGAATGCTTAGAAAATAAGAGCACTTACTCTACTTCATTTATATAAATACTTAATCATTTCTAGTAAAACAACATCAATTGATGTCAGAATCCCCTTATGATAATTGAAAGTGCCACAAGGGGCAAAAGTTCAATGAAATTAATTGAATAAACCCATTTAGAGTGGTTTGGAGACTGGAAAATCCTACCTGATATTTATCTGATATACAGCCTTTTAAAATGTGGGGTATGTCCTCCATACACAATCCTGCTTCCTCTTTCACATCCAAACCCATTGTGTCACACAACTTAAATGGTAGAGATCTGCCAGCCTTTCCATCTTTAAGGGAATATATTCTGTACTGCAAAACAAAACATGCCAAGTGTAAAAGTTCTTTCTACAATGAGTATTCAAGATAGAACTATAGGAATATTAGAGACTAAGCAATACTTTAAGAGTAATGTGCAAATTTTTGTTTCCAGGAATCTTTAGACTCGTAAAAATTATTGAAAAATATAAAGATATATGAATTATGTCTACTAGTACTTATGTCAGAAATCAAGAACAGATTTTATTCTTTCTTGTCTCATTAAAAAGAAAATTACTAGTTGGTGAACGTCAACTGGATATTATTTTTATTTTAGAAAAAGAAAACTATTTTTCAAAGTAAAGCATTAAAAAAGTTGTATTAATGTGCTTGTTGAAATTCTTTTTAATGTTTGTCTTAGAAGATAATAGGATTCTCAGGTGTGTTTCTGAATTAATATATTGTGATTAGATCTTTTGATTGATGTATATGAAAGAAGTATGACCTCACTCTCATAAATGATGGGGAAAGGAGGAATTATTTGTTCAGTTTTTCTTCCCACATAATTTTGGGTAATATTCACTAACACTACATCCAAATATAAAAAGAGTAACCTTGTATAGGCCAGTTACTAAATAGAATCTAAAACATTATCAATGAAATATTCATACTCAATTACATGTAATTTATACTGATATACCTTAACTTTAAATGCATCTTTAGCCCATAGAAGTTTTATGGAAATTCGAAAAATATTGGCTCATTGCATTATGTAGATCTTTCAAAACTGACTCATTTTCTTACACATTGGTAAAACTTAATAATCATATACAACAGCACTAAAGTCAACAGCTGAGACTTTGCTAGAAAACTAAGCTCAGAGTAGTAGTAAATGTAAGTTTTCCAGTGAACCAATTTTTGGTTTAAAGTTCAAATTTTATCAATAACAGCGAACATCATCATTTGTTTTCTTTGAAGTGAGAGAGTGATTTTATCTAGAAGAAGAAAAAGAGGAAGAGGAAAAAGAAGAGGAGGACAAGGAGGAGGAGGAGGAGGAGGCTTCCAGACATTCAAGTGTGAAAAACCGAGTCTGTCAGATATCCTTTCAAATAAAAATATGACATAAAAAAGTTCACCTTGAGCGACAAGGCACGCAAGCAGAGTGACGAGACGCGCAAGTCTTATTTGCTGAGGACTGGTGACTTGGCAGCTTAATATCTGGGAACAGACTGCAACCCCTAACTCCCAGCGCTGCCCAAGCC